CTTTTTTAAGCTTGGTGAGCGTATTGGCATTCTATAATGTAGACTGCAGCAATTATTATTAAACTGAGTGAGCGTACAGTCTATAATGTAGACTTATTCTTGGTTCTTAACGTAATAAAAAATAAAATACAAATAATAATTAAAAAATTAAGAAAAAATAAAAATCAAACCACGACGTTTCGATCACAACACAAGCGATCCTCTGCAGGCGCAAAGAGAAGACGATCATGGAAAAAATTGTGTCCCAGAAAAATTTGGTACCCCGGGGTACCACCATAAGGATCAATTCCAGCCGCTCGGATCGTGGGGTTGGCGGATCACAAAAAGAGGTGCACCCGTTGCGACAACCACAACTGCGCCGCCGCTCCCCGGCCGCGGAGCGCCTATTTTCCGATTTAGTATTTAACCAGGTAAGGCTGACCCCCAACTTAGTTGTGCAGCTCTTTTTTCAAAAGCGACCCTGGCCATCGCGAATGATAGCTCAGCCAAGTAGCTCATCGTCATCACGCGGACATTCATAGTGGCCAAACACTCTAAACGCGTGATGTTGATTCTAAATGTGGAAGGGAAGAACACCGAAAGGACCCGGAGAGACGTGCGAACTGCAAATATACAGCAGGCGTCAGGGTCAGAATCGAACCCACGACCTCCTGTATACCAGGCGAAGTAGTTATCATCTCTCCACCACGGCGCACGTGGAGTCCGCGGCGGTGTGCTCTGAGCCCCGCTCCGATGCACGCTCACTCTTGCCGTGCCTTCCACTCTCAGAATTGCCTTCAATTTGCCTTCTATTCTCCCCCGCCTAGGCCCATGGTTTGTTTATTTGTGATTCCCAGTGCCTTGAGTAGAAAGCTGCCTTATCAATGTCACGTATCATGATGATCATCGTTACCGCGCACGGATCGTCAAGAAAACAGCTGCCTGCTGAGTCGCGCATACTGTACACAAACAGTGTTGTACCTCTGTATCTCTGTGTATATGCATCTCTATGTGTGCATCGCACAGCTACGACCAGGCCTACCTCAACCCCTATCACTACCCCTATCATCAATCTATGTATGTATGTTGAAATTATTTCAGACCCTCCGTATCCAACCGTGCTTATCACGACCCCTATCTGTTTAGTTTGTTGTCCTTCCCCTGCACCTTCCGATTAGCACGATTGGCTATGTACGATGCGAAAGAGATTCAATGTATACTATCCCATAAACCAATCACTATCCCATCACTCCCAAACCCCTATCAATACCCCAACCCCTATCACTACCCCAACCCCTATCACCACTACCCAACCCCGATCACTACCCCGACTGCTACCTCAATCCCTATCACTACCCCAACCCCTCCTTCATCACTCACGCCTGTTCTACTGTCACCATAACTACACCACCACTTTTAACAAATCTGCTCTTTATCTCAACCACTAATCATCTCATGCACAATTATATAATTGCCGTGAAGGGCAATGGAGTAATGCGCATCGTGTAAATCTAGGGACGGTAAGATAGTGACGCAGCAAAGAGTTTTACGTGCGATGTTATTTCGGTGCAGCGCCATCGATGTGTGCGCGACGGCGTCTCAGTCCGGACAGTTGAAGCCGCTGTAAATCTGCTGCTGCCCCTTCGTCCATGGGAATGTTTGTACGTATTTCCGACCTTCTTTCACGCCGTGCGTAGCCACCTTGGCTCAAGGCGCTCTACAACGTAGTTTAAAAACGGTGACACGAACGTGGAGTTATTTAGATGACAAGGAGCCGAGGAATATGTGACGGTTACAGAGGGCGTGTGCGGGTCGGGATGAAGTGGAGAGGCGAGCGGAAGGGGAAGTAAATGGGCAATGGAGATGAGGTAGTGAGGCTTTAATGTATGTATGTATGTTAAACTTCTTTCGCACCGTACATAGCAAACCGTGCTCATCGGAGGTGCAGGGGAAGGACAACAAACTAAACTCAAAAAGCAGTTAAATTTAGATTTAAAGCTTTCGTGACTGCAGGGATTCATCTTCTTGGTTCTTTCTGTTCTTCACCTGAGGACGGCTGCTTACGTTGTGGCCGAAACGTCGTGAGAATTGTATTTTATTGTTTTCTTTTATTATTTTATTATTTCCCTTCCACGTGACTTTACCGAAAGAACCAAGAAGACAAAAAGCAGTTCTCAAAAAATGTGTTTTAAGTCTAGATTAGTTTAAAGTGCATCGATCCAGTGGCTTCCTAATATCGGGAGGAAGATAGTTCCAGACCGCTGCAGATGCGCGTCTGAAAGCGTGTGATGCGGTGACCGACTTTGTTCGATGGCCAACCAAAAGCTGCTGCTGCGAGGATGAGCAGAGTTTGCGTGATGATGGTTTACGCTCCTTGACGAGATCAGCGATGTATTATGGTTCATTTGTGGCAAGAACTTTGTGTATGTGTGTGTGATGATCGCCACCTCATGGCATATTCCTTCGGCAACCGGAAGCTAATGCTGCTCAGCGAGCACTGGACAGAAACGTGCATCTGCATGGAAATACATTGAACTTCTTTCACACCATACGTAGCTGTTCTGCCTCACTGCAGGTGTGGGGGTGTGTACACAGGAATTTCCTGTTTGGATGTTGAGTTTGGTCACGTGACCAGGAAGTTACGATTTGACATGCTCTAAGCCATGCAGCAGGTGAGTAGGGTATTAGCCCATACACAGAGGACAAAATGGTGGCACAAATAGCGTCCCAGTAAAGACAGGTGCAACTGTTCATTGTGGGACTTTAAGAAGCATTGTCTGTAAGTTCGTTTATATTCTTATAATAGTGAGAATGCTGTTATAATGTTCGAATTCCCGGTATAATGCTGTAAAGGCCTTTATAATGATGTTAAATTGTTATGATAAATATGAGGCCTAGTTAACAACGAAGCCTGCCACTTGCCTTATTGTGAATGTTACTTGTAATTGAATAAGTCGAGTCAGACTTGGACCCATGTAACCTTATTGCGATCTTGAGAGCAAAGGTGACGAAATATCTCATCCATAGTTCAGTGTAATGTGTAGTGCTGTACATTTAGGCTGCAGTATGGTGATTACACGATGTGCCCTTATTTAACAGTAGCTTATTCTCTTGTATAGCTATTCAGTTTAAATGTAGGTGATCCAGGATCTATTTCATATTATCTAAGACAATGTAATGATGCTGTAGTGTTCATTGTATTGATATTTCCAAGTATTAACATATGCTGTATTTGTGCTGTTTTTCCATCAGTTCTACCTCGTTATCTACTCGGATAGTGGTGCAAAGCAGCGCACAGCGAGGCCGAGACAGTAGCTAACCATGCTAATCAGAGGCGCGGCAGTGGTCAGATCTTGCAGTACCTGCCATGTGCCCAAGAGTTTTGTACATGCCGCAGCTCGCTAAAGTAAATGAGGAGGAGCCGTAAGGGCATTGTGCAAACATGGGTTTGAGAGGCTGACCAAAATTCGGTTTCGGTTTTGGTTTCGGCGCCGAAAGTTGGCAAATGGCTTCTTTCGGCATACTTTCGGTTTCGGCCAAAAGTAAATGTTTTACTTTCGGTTTACTTTCGATTCTGGTTTCGGTTTCAGTCGAAACTGATATAATATTGACTTTCGGTCGTCATTCGTCAACCGAAGATCTATTTTTAGAATATAACGCGAGTGCTACGTCTATCACTCTGCCTATCGGCCGGTCAGTCGGCGCTAGCCAATCCTATGCAATAGGCTGAAAACACACACACACACGTCAGCAGCAGCAGCAGCTTGGGAGCGAGGTTACAGCCGCAACCATGGTCTGCAAATGTATATACGACCGGTCAACAGACGGCAGCCTGTCTGGCTGAATGCGGAAACACCTTTGTTTCTTAACTAAAACATTCGTTTGTTTGGATATAATTACAGTAAAACCTTGGATTGTGAGCATACTTCGTTCCGGAAACGTGTTCGTAATCCAAAGCACTCATATATCAAAGCGAATTTCCCCATAAGAATTAATGGAAACTCAGATGATTCATTCCACAACCCAAAAATACTGTATTCATATAAAAATGATTAATACAAAATACCTTTTTATATTTTTATTATTTCAATTTAATATAAAGTAATAACATTTATTCATTGAATTTAATCGTGGCTGGTGTGAGGGAGACGAGAGAGAAGAGAGGAGGGTTATTGTGTAGGACGACTTTCACTTGCAGTACAGTTACTAAGGAACAGTCACGACACTTGGACACAAAATAAAAAAAATGCTTTACGCACACACTCGTGGTCACAACACTATAGTAAACAGTATACTGTACGCTCGCACGGATGTTGGCTATATGAGTGAGGCACGTTTACTGAGACCGAGGATGGGAGACGATTACCCACAATCCTGTAGCGAGAGAGAGAGAAGAACCATTGGCTCAGTTGTGATCACGTGACGCTCGGCAGACAAAGCGTATACTGTACGTACTACAGTACTCGTATTACAAGACATCGCTCGTTTATCAAATGAATATTCGTTAAAAAAATTTGCTCGTCTTGCAAAACACTCGCAGACCAAGTTACTCGCAATCCAAGGTTTTACTGTACTAAGTAAGTAACACCTGAAGATTTTATATTTAGCGACTCTTACTGCAGGCTCTGAATGATTAGTTCTAGATTATTTTTCATTAAAGTAGCATTGCATCATGACATATTTCATAAATCTTGTGTTCCGTAACTTCGGTTATATACCTTTCTGTTTCGGTCTCGGTCGAAAGTGCAGCTAAACTTTCGGTTTCGGTTTCAGCCAAAAGTGAAGTTAAACTTTCGGTTTCGGCTTCGGTTTCGGCTGAAAGTAAATTTTTTACTTTCAGTCTGGTTTTGGTTTCGGCCAAAACCAGAAATTCAGTTTCGGTCGGCCTCTAGTTGGAGGCATCGCAGCAGGAGCAGCGGCAGCAGTAAGCAGCAGGTGACCCACGTCGCTGGGCCCTGCCCGTGCGGCGGAGGCACCGGCGTTGCCGGCGTCGCTCATCCTTCTTTGCCGGCCCCGTGCAGGTGCAGTCCATCGAGAAGAAGCTCGACTTCCTCATCGACTTCTACCGCCAGTCGCTGGGCCAGGGGGGCGGCTGCTCGGCCGCCACGCCGGACTCGCACGGCAGCCCCGTGGACGGCGCGTCGCTGGCCTCGGCACCGCCATCAACGCCGCGCGGCCGCCTCAGTGTCTCCAGGTGCGTGCCTCGACAGCATCATCGTAAGGAGCCATGAGTCGCGAGCCAAGCTGGCGACAGTGACGGGGCAGGGCAGGAGGAGGAAACGATGGTGAAATGCATCGGGATTTCATGGCGCGGGAGCCGACTCGTCGCCGTTCACAATCGTCGTCATCGTTATGTGTCGTGATCGGTGCACTGCTGGATGAGGGTCTCCCCAAGCTGCTACCATCACCTCTCATGACCGCCCGTACTCAATTTGCGTCCATCATCTCCTCATCGGCTATTCTCATTAAGCGTCCTGCCCATTCCACGAAACTCCCGGCCCTGTCCTTATTTATTAACCCTTTCCCATTCCGATGATGTACGTCTACGTGAATTGATTCCGAACGGAAGTAAAAGACATGCGGGAGGGCATGTGGCACTGTTTGCCGCCCGCTGTCATAGAGTACAGCGGTCGTGTCGCTACGGTTCTCTGCGGTATGTACAATGTCTCTAAAATTAACGGTGCTCCTACGCCTCTCTAAATAAAACGAACACCAAGCCGCTCGCGCGTTCAGAGATTGATTGAGCGGCGAACGAGACGCCAACCCTACAACTTGCAGACGTCTATGACACGTAAAAGGGTTAATTGTATTTTGCCCATCTCATCGCCCTGCGCGTGCGTCCACAACGCCTTCCTCTCACCTCCCCCGTGGCCCCCCACCCCTTCGCGGTCGCCTCACAATCCTGAGCGTGCTCAATGGCTGCGGTGATGCCCCAGGTCGTTGGCAACGCCGTGCTCCACGTCGGACGGCCTGCTCTCGCCGCTGCACGCCGATACCGACGCGGAGTCCTCGCCGCCCCGCACGGGTGACACGGGCGGGACGGGCGGCTCAGGCCACTCGGCCGGCACCTGCAACGTGGCTGTCGAGGCCGCCGGTCACCGCGATGGCGGCGCCACCAGAGCCGCCGCGGCTGCGGCCGCCTCGGCCTTCCTCTTCCCCTCCGCCCTGGCGTATGCACCCCTCGATGGCGTCCAGTACCCTCGGCGGTCCATTGCCTCCTCTCCAGACGACCTGGACTCGCCGTTCGGGCCTCAGCCTCATCATCAACTTCACCAGCAGCAGCACCAGCAGAAGTCTCGGACGTCCGAGCGGCCCCACGGCGTGGCTGGGACAAGCGCCGCCGTAGCCGCTATGGCCCCTGGCGTGGCCCCCGGCGTGACCCCGCCACAGCCGTCAGCGCTGGAGGAGGGAATGGCGCCGTGCACGTGGGAGCTGCCATGGCGAGCTCCGTGCACCCGCCCGGCCCTCGCCCGCAACTCCTCCTCCTCCTCTTCGCTGTCGTGCGGCCGCGAGGAGCAGGGCTCGCTCGACACGGTGGACGAGACGGACGAGGGGCGGCACCCCTCCCCAAAACCGCCCCCCCAGCCGCTCCCGCCACCGGGGGGGTTGGTGGTGGGGGTGCTGGAGGAGGCGGAGGTGTAGGGCGGATGAATAAGAGGAGATGGAAGAGAGGCGGTGGTGACGAAGGGTAGGGGTGGTTGCGGGGCGGTTATGTTGGAGGAAGCGGAGGAGATGGGGATCGTGGAGGTGATGAATCACGAACCGTGGATGCACGGTGTGGTGGGTGGAGACTGCTGCTGCTGCTCCCAGGGCCCGCGTGGGGTGGAGGAGCCGTTGGCTTCGTTCCCCATGGCCCCAAGCTCTCAGGTGCTCACGAGAGATGGTGGCGTCGCCACGCGGCACGATGCTCGTGTTTTCTTTGTGTTTCCGTTCGTTTATCCGACGTGTGCGTCTCCCACCTACGATGAGCGCCGAGTGGAACCTATTTAACTTGCCAGCCCCCGAGCCAGTAGTGTAAATTCCACATTTCTCTAACGGGGGCTGGTCTATCCACAGGACAACCACCATTGACTTTCTACAAAGCGTTACCCGTTTTCCCAGACGTCGAGGGATGATTGGCCGAGTTGACTTGTGTCCGGAAACTTGTGGGTGGATCCCTGTGACCGTGGTCCGGATGAGCTCGCTGCCTACCCCACGGCGCGCCGGGGCCTCTGGGAAACGCGTTATGTGTTGTTGTCGTCGTTTGGCTTTCCTGAGCCATGGTGCCACTAGTTCTCGCCCGAGCGTTGCCTCCATTTGAGTACTAATGCCAACCCCGCCAGGAAGCCATTCAAGAAGCCTTCCCTGCTGTCGAGAGGAAGTGAGTGAGGTGGTGGCCAGGTCGCTCGAAAGTCAGAGCGCTGAGCCGGCACCGCTCAGAGCCTGGGTTCCATTCCAAGTCTCAGCCACTGCCGTGGTTGCACCGGGGGGGGGGGAGGTTCTCGGTGCAGCGAGTCGATGGCCTCGGCCCGGGTTCGCGAGCTGCTCGGCAGTTTGCAGCGATGCATTTCATCGCGCACACAACGCCGACCACGGTCGTCACGAGCATGAGAGTGCACGCAGCGTCGCTTGCTCGTCCAAGCGACAGTCTCGCTCGTGGACAAAACGGTTGCTGGCGATGATTTGAGTCGCGATTTTTTTCGAACGCCGCGATTTTGGTGGCACAGCAAACTGATCGGAGTCGGCTCAGGTTTCTATAGAACCAACGGGCGCGACGTTTAGTCGCTATCCTCGTGACTCGCCGGTGTCGAGTGCGTGGCAGCGTGCACACCGTGAGCCCATCGCAAGCGCAGCGGGAGGTCCCCGCGTGCCTAACTGCCCACTGGTTTGTTAACCACTTCATTTCTTTTTTGCAGAGCTTGACAATGGAAAGATGAGAATCATCATGCCTCCAATACTTTTACTGCCATCGATTTACTTGGATTTTCTGGGAGGCAGATATACAAGTCACATCAGCTGCCATGCCGTGCCAAATCTATAGCCTTCGGCATTTTTGATTGAAGAGCCGATGGACTTTCTGACATAAGAACTTGACTGATGGTGATTAAATTCCACCCTCAACATGCATTTATATCACACCCGTAACATGACGAGCATCTTCATGATGCAGGTGTTTTAGTCTAGGGACCCACCCCCCCCCCCCCCCCCCAATGACAGCTGTCCCTGTGCGGCACGAGCCATAACCGTCACATGCCAATTCGCCCATGGACACGGGGGGGGTCCTCGGCGGGGCCGTGGGAAGCGCCCTAAAACTATAAACTACCAAACTACTTTTTATTCGACCAAGTAAGGCCCCACCAGAGTGACGTAGCTTTTTTATCAAAAGCGACCTGGCTGTCAAACGATAGCGTAGCGAAGTGGCTCGTCGCCCTGTGGTAATTAATAGCGTGGAGCTGTTGCGGCTGGAGTTCTTTCTTGCTAAACACCACGCGCTGCACCCTGAGACACTTTGCTAATTCCTGTCTGTCACCTGATGAAGCTGGTTGTAATTGCCCGAATTGTAGATGCTGTGGGTTTCACTCTCCAACGCACCGGTGTACTGAACTAGTAACGAATTGGCGTGTTTTGTTTACGTGGTGGTGGGTTTAACGAAACATTTATATTTACGTGATCCAACCCAAAAAAAACCTTTAATGGATAACATTGGTCGCGAAAGCCTACCACATGTGCAACCCTTAATTACACTGATGGTTGACGGTGGTGCTTGGGGTGAGAATGGTTGGGAGCCTCGTTGGTCACGGACCATTTTCCGAGATGTTGAGAAATCTGCGATCGTAAGCGAAGTGATGAACGGTTCGTAATGACACGTGGGGACAACTGCGCATGCTCCCGGGGCCACCGCGGCCCAGTGGCCCCCACCGACTCTTACGTGTGCTTGTCGGAAGCATCTTGAGAGGTGGAAGACGTTACAAAAAGTCACTTTTGATGTGGCGTCACGGTGGCTAGGAGATGTTAACTACCTCGCCTGGTATACAGAAGCTCGTGGGTTCGATCCCGACCCTAACGCCTGCTGTATATTTGGAGTTTACATGTCCCTCTCCCCGTGATCGCGTGGATTTTTCTCCAGGTCCCCTGGTTTTTCCCTACACATTTAGAATAAAAATCACGCATTTAGAGTATTTGGCTCCTATGAATGTCCACGTGATAAGCCACTTCGTTGCGCCATCATTTGTGATAGCCAGGTCGTTTCTAAAAAAGAGCTACATGATTCAGTGGGCCTTTACCTGGTAAAATTTAAATCGTTTTTGGTTTATGTCCGACGTTTCGCTCCACGTGCTGGGGCTACCACAAGTTGCTGCATCGTTTCGTCGGAGAACTTGAATGTGTTTCAGAAGAACCTCCCCAAGTACATGAAGCGAAGCGAATCGACGTACGGAGGCGAGAAAGCCGTATTACCTACGCGCCGTGTCTATGCGGCCCCACGTAGAAAGATAGCCTGTGAATGACCACCAACCAGTGAACGTGGGTGACAAATAACTACTGTGAGACTGCTGCGTGAACCCAAAGTCATGGCTACTTTGTCATGGCTACTTTGCATTTTTTCTGCAATGCCTACTCACTTTCCTTTTTATTTGCCTGCTTGGATTTTTCTCAGCGTGGAGGCAAGAGGGAAGGTTGGTTGGAGGCCGTCGTCCTGAGAGCCCCTTGGGAAACACTCCTACTGCATTCTCCGGAGTGTGAGACGCTCTGGAGAGTGAGACGCAGTCCCCGAACTTTTGCGTTGAAATACAGGGGAGCGAAAGTGATACTTTCACTACAGAGAATATGGTAATGGTTGAGATGTGCACTTATATTTGATTTGTTACACGGATGACGATCCCGTTTCGCCAACTGCCCAGCTTTTTTTTACACGGAAAGAGATCCGTGGTGCTGCGTGAGCACAGATAACAACAACAATAGCAACAACAAAACCGTCAACATTGCAGAGAACGAGTACAGGGTCCTTGAGGCGGATTACTCTACTCAAGATGCTCCACTCAATATACTCTACTCAAGATACTTTACTCAAGATGCACTACTCAAGATGCTGTACTCAAGATGCTCTACTCAATATACTCTACTCAAGATGCTCTACTCAAGATGCTCTACTCAAGATGCACTACACAAGATGCTCTACACAAGATACTCTACTCAAGATGCTCTACTCAATATACTCTACTCAAGATGCTCTACTCAAGATGCACTACTCAAGATGCTCTACACAAGATGCTCTACTCAAGATGCTCTACTCAAGATGCTCTACTCAAGATGCTCTACACAAGATGCTCTACTCAAGATGCTCTACTCAAGAGGCTATACTCAAGATACTCTACTCAGGACCGAGCGATGTTTTGTCTGCGCGACAACGAAACAAACAGTGAATCGATGTCTGTGTGAGTCAACACCGCTCCTACAACAAAAACAGCAACAGCGTGCGTGTGGGCCGTGTGCATGTCAGTGCGCGCGCGTGTCTGTGTGTGTGTGTGTTTAGGGGAGTGGCAGTGTAGTGGTTAGCGCGCTGCGCTATGATCCCAGCGACCCGGGTTCGATTCCCGCTCACGGCCAACACCAGTGACGATTATTTGAACCGGTCCTGGGCCTCCCCGAGGTCGACACAGCCTCAAATGAGTACCCGGTGCGATGTGTAAACATCGCCACTGGGGAGACAAAGGCGGTCGGGCGTGGCGCTTGCCACCCACCCCCTCGTGTACCATTCCGATCCTCATAGGTGCTTGCTAACAGTACTTGCCCCTACAGTCTGTTAGGCTATACGGGGGATATTTGTCTTTGTTTAGGCCGGTCTGCATACGATCTATCCTGGATTTAACCAGGCTGGATTGTGTGAGGAGCTCAGAAATCCTTGAAAGATCTGGACAAAGTCCCATCGGTGAGTTTCTCTGGCAGGCAAGGCTGCGTTGCCTGCGGCATGTAGCCCGCATGCCCAGCCACCGCATACCTAAACAGATTATGTTTGGCCAGATAGCGGGGGCTAAACAGGCACGACACGGGCTAGAGAAGAGATGAAGTGATGTACAAGAGGATGTGAAGCTGCGTGGATTTGCCGATGACTGGTACCAGCGGTGTCAAGATCGGCCTCTGTGGAGGAGGCTCGTGAAGGACGCTACTGGGCAGTTGGAGGCAGTCGTCCTCCAGCAACAACGGAGGGCAGAGGAGCGACGCTCACAACAACGAGCGGAGCGCCGGGTGGATAAAATACGGCAAGTTGGTAAAGTCGTGGGGTACAGCTGGTGTGACCTACCAGTCATCCCAGTCAGCCAACCCACGGCACCTGCTGGGTCCGTCCCGAGACCTTCCTGTCAGCGAACCTTCGACACTTCACGTGGCCTCAAAGTGCACCTGGCCTGGCACAGGCGCCATGGTGACCTCACCGTTACGTAGTGGCGAGTGGCGGGTGTTGGTATTGGTACGCGAATTGCGTACCAATACCAACACCCGCGACGCTCTGCGCCACAAGCCCAGCGAGCCGCCTCGGCAGAGCAGGCGGGCGGGGGGGGTCCCAATTCCTGGCCACGGTTTGCAAATGCTGCGAGCCTCCCGTTGGTCCGGTCAGCCTTAAGCGTGCGTGCGGTGAAGCGTTCTCTCTCTCGAGCAGACGCCCGTGTCGGGAAGACAAAACGTGGGGAGCATTTGCCGCTCGCTCACTCGCGCCGTTCCGGTGCTCTGGTGGTCGTTAACAGTGCCCCCAATCACCAAGAGTCGCGGCAGGCCAACGGAAGGAACCTGCGTGTGTGCGTGCGCGTGCATGTGTGGAGCGACGCTCACAACAACGAGCGGAGCGCCGGGTGGATAAAGCACAGCAAATTGGCACTGTAGGGGGCACAGGTGGTGCATCGGCCAGTCATCTCAGTCGACCTGTGGCACCTAGGTCTGCCCCGTGACCTGCCAGCGGGCGTTCAACACTTCACGTGGCCTCAAGGTGCACATGGCCTGGCACAAGCGCCGTGGTGACGTCACCGACACTTAGTGGCGAATGGCGGTTGTGTGTGCGTGTGTGTGCGCGTCTCTCGTGCGAGCGGCGTGATTTGCGTTATCTTGAACCCGCTGGCTGTAACCTGTTCATGCCAACCGTGCATGATGTGATGCATGTTCGCTAAATTTAGGCTTCGTTTCCTTAGAAAACGATGAGTTTTCATGGTGGGTGGGTGGGAGGGAGGGCAGGGGATGTCTGCCGAATTATATTTTTAAAAAAATAAGTTGCGAACCGTATTGTGAGAGCAGGAAGGCATCATTATCGCCACTTAAATGGGACGTACGGGAAATCGGAGTCTAATTTGAGATGTGGAGTGACGCCTGTGGTTTGTCGACGGGTGATGCGAAATGTGATGGAATTCGCATGACTTTGGTTTCTCAGTTATCATGCTCATCATCATCACCATTAATACGTGTCGACTTTGTTATTCTTGATTTGAGGAAGGTTATTATCATACATATTTTTTGTAATCCATATTTGTCGAAGCAATTATTTCACGTGCACATGCCCACAATGCAATGCTTTGTTATCCTGCGTCAAAGTGTCTCGAACGATGCACCACCTGGTGTCCCCCTGCGCCAGTGGTGCCAATTCCACATTCACATGGACAGGACCTCGGAAGGATACGTTTTAACAACGTGCCAAGGTGTGCTCACAAAACAGCAGGAAGGCACGACTCCCATCGTGCCCTGCGTGCGTTAGCACGTGGTCGCCCTCATTGTGTGTGCAAAGTTCACAGCCTTGCCCGAACCACCGGCTCAGGAGCTGAATGGTTGTGGCAGGACTGGTTCTTTATAACCACCAACTTCCTGCTGTGTGTGGGGAGTGGTGGCGTAGCGGTTAGCGAATCCGGCGACCCTAGTTCGATTCCCGCCCACGGCCACCCTCACCAGTGATGATTATCTGAACCGGCTCTGGGCCTCCCCTAGGTACACTGAGCCTCAAATGAGTACCTGGTGTGGTGCGTAAACAACACCACTTGGGGATACAAAGACGTCCGGGCGTGGTGTTGGCCACCCACCCTCTCGTGTGCCATGCCGGCCTTCATTGGTGCTCGCTAACAGCACTTGCCCCAACAGTCTGCTCAGGCTACACGGGAGATATTTGTCTATTTATAACCATCAACTTGCCGCTGTGTGTGAGCAGCACGCCTTTTGTGCGTTGTTAAATCTCTGCGAGTGTGTGTGCGTTTCCAGCCGGCACTCATTCTCTTGTTGTGATGCTGGTGACGATGAACTCGTCTCTCCGCAGGCTAACCCGTCATCTTTGACTTCGCGCACCGTGGTGCTCGCGTAATTTGGCCGAGCCAAGTGATTGGCTAACCGCAGCAAAGAAAACACTCCACTGGGAACCCGGCGGTGTTTTTTTTTGCTTTTTCAGTCCGGTGGTATTGGCACAACTGAGGCCACAGGTCAGAGGAGCCCGGTTCAATCCTCCAACCCACGACGGCGGAGAGATCAACAAGGCGGCGGAGCGACTCCGGTGCCACGCGCCCACTGGAGCGGTGTGCGTCGTGAGAGTGGGTTTCGGTTGTGTCAGGGTTTGTCGGTGGGGTGCAATGTGGGTATGTCCCACCCTCCGTTTGTCCGGCCCCTCGTGGAGGCGAGCGTGAGTGTAAGATCCCAGCAGGAAGCAGAGAAAGAGTAATGTTCAGTAATCCGTGCACCTAAGGGTGGTCTCGGTTACAGAACATTGACCCAATCGGTTAATGTGCAGCTTAAGATTACAAAATTGTCTAGCCGTTTGGAAATCATATCATGAAGTTCGACCGCGAAGTGTTGGGATATTTTCAATAAAAGTTTAAGAGAAACAAAGAAGGAATCCAATCCGTCAAGTTTGTCCATGGCTCTCTCGCTGCTCTTTGAGAGATGGGGGGCATGAATACACTCCACCCCCACCCTCCACTGACCCCACCCACCCCTACTAACCCCGCCCACCCCCATTGACCCCGCCTACTGATTCCGCTCACCCCCCCCCCACTGACCATGCCCCACTTAGTGGTTTGGCCAGAGGCGTAGCTAGGGGGGGGCAGGGGAGTACATATGTCCCCGGGCGCCAAGGTAAAGGGGCGCCAAAATGAGGCTTACAACGTTACATTATAACTTATTGCGGCGGGCGCGGCAGCCTGAAACTACTGCACAAATCTACACCTCAACCTAAAAGTTTATATATGCCGCCACACACAGCCTAGATTTCATGTAATTACATTTTGGTACGCGCGCCTATTAAGAACTTACATGGAAGAACGTCCCAAACAACAGACAGGCGCAGTCTTTCAGCCTTAGTCACTGGCCTGTTTTTTGGTGGCAGAAACTACGACGGCCTATTTTTAGTTCTTATTAGTGACACCACCACGCTCCAGGCGGCTGCAGCAGCCGGAGCAGCCCACGCACGTTCAATTACATCATCATGGTTTAAACGCCGACTAGCGAACGGAGAGGAAGTGAATCGTTCGTGGCTATTATATTCACCAATCAATAAAGCTGCTTACTGTTTTTGTCGTCTATTATTTACATCGTCGAGTTCAAACTCACGAGCTTCGTTTGAGTTAACAAACGGTTTCAACAAGTGGAGAAAGCCAGAAAAACTAAATTCTCATGAAAACAATCCTAGCCACCGCACAGCATTTACTGCATGGAAGGAAGCCGAACGAGGGATAATTGATGGTACTGGAATTGACGCAGTGGTTCAAGCTCAGATTCATTTGGAAAAACAACGTTGGCGAGATATATTGCAAAGAATACTCACCTGTATGAAGTTTCTGGTTTCACAAAATTTGGCACTACGTGGCCATGAGGAAAATTTGAATGCGGATGAGGATAAAACTGTTGGAAAAATTATCGCACTGATCAAACTCGTTGCGCAGTATGACCCATTGCTAGCAAAACACGTACAGCACGCAGGAGAAAATCCGGGATCAGTTTCTTATTTGTCACCGGAAATCCAGAATGAATTTATCCACATACTTGCGTCGACTGTAAAGAACCAATTGTTGAGTGATATCGGGAAAAACAAGTACTACGGTATCTTACTTGACTCAACTCCTGATCTAGGACATCGGGAACAGCTTTCTCAGGTCATAAGATTTGTGGATGTGGATTTTCAAACTAAAAAAGTAACTATCAAATACATTTTTTTAGGTTATATCGATATACATGCAAAAGATGCAGCAAGCCTAGAAAGAGTCATCGTCGAAAGACTGAAATCTGACAACATACCTCTAGCCGACTGTCGGGCACAATGTTATGACAATGCTGCTGTGATAACTGGGCATATATCCGGCCTTCAACAACGAATATGTGACAAAAATCACAGAGCATTGTTTGTCAACTGTGACAACCACAGCTTAAACTTAGCAGGAGTACACTCAGCTAAACAAGATCCACATTTCGTCACATTTTTTGGAACAGTTGAAAGTATATATTTGTTTTTCTCTTGTTCAACAATTCGTTGGAAAGAGTTTAAAAAAAGCTGTGCCCATCACAGTAAAGCGGGAGTCTGAAACATGCTGGAGTGCACGATCAGAAGCTGTTAAAGCTATCTATGAAGGACTGGATGAACTAGTAGGGCTGCTAGACAAATTATCGGAGGACGTAACTAGACGCCTGAAACCAGAAGCGATGCAGAACAGTTACAGGCATGCGTATTAAATTTTTACTTCATAGTTTTATTACATTTCTAGAATGTCATTCTTGGAAAAATGTATCGTGTTCAGAAGCGCTTACAGGAATTTTTGGAAAACGGGGCATAGATACAACAGGATCATACTATTAACTTCAAGGAAGCAGCAACTGATCTTGAATCTTTGGAGCATGAATTTGTCAAGCTTCGTGATTATTTGAGCCAAGTTGCTGTAGAAAACGCCAAAACAAGATGCACAGCCTGGGGGATAAATGTGGACAGAAGAAGATGCCAGGAAAACTGGCAAGAGATGCAGGACTTTCAGCAGAAGAAAAAATTGTGCGCGTTATGAAGAGCGTACTTTATCGACTTCAACAGGAGATGTCAACACGGTTTTTACGACTAAAAGACCTGAACACAAAATCTGGATTTCTGCTGGACGTCAAAACTCTTCTATCCGACACAGATGTCGATGCAATTCGCCGAAATTGCAGATTTTGGAAATTTCTATGACACCGACATCAATGGCCACGAACTTTTCACAGAAATTGAAGATTGCAAAATGCTGCTCAGTAACCGGAATGAAGTTCTACCAGAAACTTCTTTGGATCTTCTTAGTTTTTTTGTGTTTTATGGAGACGACATTTCACAATTTGCGAATTTCACTGCAAATTTTATTAACAATAGCAGTTTCAATTGCAAGCTATGAGCGGTCGTTCAGCAAATTGAAACTTATTTTGTCGTATTTGCATGCTTCAATGGGACAAGATCGTCTCAGCGATCTTGCTCTTCTTAGCGTTGAAAGAGAAACATTGGAAAAAACAGATTTTGATTACGTGATTGACCAGTTTGCGACAGTGAAATCAAGAAAAATGTATATTTTGTAGACTATGTCAACCAGTCTACGACAGTGACTGAGTGAGCCATGTAATATAATTTCTATAAATTAGCTTCTTTAAATACAATGTTTCATTTTTATAGTTCGTCCCCGGGCGCAAAATATCCGAGCTACGCCTCTGGGTTTGGCTCCACTGAATGGTGGAGCCTAACCACTAAGTGGTGGGGCCTATTTCACTGAATGGTGGACCCTAACCACTAAGTAGTTGGGCGTAATCACTGAGTGGTGGGGCCTAGTCACTGAGTGGTGGAGCCTAGTCACTGAGTGGTGGAGCCTAACTACTAAGTGGTGGGGCCGAATCACTGAATGGTGGGGCCGAATCACTAAGTGGTGGGAAGAGGCGGGGCCTAAATAGAAAGGGGCTGGGGCATGAAGAGGAAGAGGCGGGCCTAATCATGAAGGGCGCTGCCTAATTGTCAGGGGTTGTAATAAAAGGAAGGGACGGGGCCTAATCCGGAAAGGACGGGGTCTAAATAGTAGGGGTGGGCCTGAAGTAGAAGAGGCGGGGCCTAGTCGCGAAGGGGCGGGTCCTAAAGAATAATGGGTGGGGCATGATGAGGAACGAACGTGGCCTACAGAGGTTGTAGATCTTGAGGTAATGGAGGT